CTGCTCCTTCCTGGGCCTCCATAGCTGCAGCCCAGCCTGCAAGCATGTAGCAGCAGGAACTGCATGTAAAAGCTTCTTACACCTCTGGGCAATCAATTATGCCAAAGTGAAATTGATGATAAACTTAAATAAGCCTTATTCAGTTGGTGGTGGGAGAATTGGTGGCTCAGCCAACTGCTCCCTGCACCATTGTCTCTTGCACAGCACACTAAAAGGGAAATGATTCTCAGAATTGTTAAACATAATGGATTGCTGCTTAAACCCCTTGTTAGATTTATTAGTTAACTAATCACCCCAGAGACTTTCCCTCTAACAGTCCAACAGGCTAGGCTGTGAGAGAGCCTAGTGCTTGTGTCCCAGAGCCAAATATTTGCCGGAGCAGCTGCTGAGTCTGTTGACGGCAGTCTTCAGTGCCTCATACCAGAACAAAGAAGAATCAAAGTCCCTAAACCATTTCAAGTCTGAAATGGGAGCATTAAAAAATAGAAGTGTAACTGAGAAAGGTTAAGCAAGAAGATTTCAGAAACATAATCTCTTGTAGTGAGTGCTGCTGTGGCAGTACCACTATGCCTCTTTGAGGTCCCACAGTATTTGGGGCACAGCAAGTCCTTAGAAACCTGGAAGGAGGTGGGTTTCCTCAGCAGAAATATGGGACTGCAGGCAAACAAGGCTTTAAAAATCACTGAAAGACACTGCTGGTTCTTGTCTGTCCACACTGAGCAGGGAGCTCTAGGGCAGATGGGCAGTGTCCCAAGCCAGGGAGTGGTGAGCAGTGCTGGTGAGACCTCACTGCAGTGGCCATGTCCAGCCTGGATGTCCACAATGAGGAAGCTCCATGGGAGGGAGTTCCTGTTGTGTTTTCCTTGCCGTGGCTCTCTAATGGACAGCAGGGTGATGGTCAAAGAGGAGGTCCTGCCTCCCCTCTATTTTTCTCGTGGTGTTTGGTACTACCCCTGTGAGGGTGTCGTGTCGGAGTGGTGGGAGCACTGACCTTCCTGGGTCACACCAAGTAGTGTGAGTAAAGAAGCTGCAGGCTTTCAGGACAGATTGGCTCTTAAATCCTGCAGTGGAGAGTCTGGGAGTCTCAGTTCTCACAGCCACCTCGTCTGATGGCTCAGCTGGCACTGACTGACCCACAGCCTCATCAGAAATGTCCAGCACAGTTGTCCAGTAAACTAAGGCTGCTTTGTTGGTCCTGTGGAGCTGCTGGCACTTGCTGTTATCCAGGACAGGCAGCAGGAGTACCCCCCATCCCCTCAGGAGAAAAAGATTGGAAGAAATGGAGTGTGGGCTGGGTTTGTATATTGTGGTGGTTTTGTGACTGTGCTGGTCCTCCTCACTCCTTCCTTCTTTCCTTCACACATTGGAAGGAATTGCCTCTAAGCTCACTCATACAGGCCTCAGTTTATAAAAAAGTGGTGTGATCCTAGTGCCAGCTCATTTGGATGTGCCTGGTATCAAGGCTTGAGCTGCCTGCCACTATCAGACCTGTTAACTCAATCCTGTGGAATGACTGTATGGATTTGCCCATACACAGTGAAAGTGGCATTTCAGCTTTTGAACTGAGAGCCTGATTCTGGCTGCACTGTGGATCTACAGCAGTTCCTTTTGTTTTGCAGCAATGTAAATGGAGAATCATTTTTTTATCCCCATAACCAGACATTTACGACCATGCATAGATTGACTGATGTGTAAAGTCAATAGGATTGTGTCTCTCAAAAGCAGATATAGAGGGAATTAGCAGCTGCATAAGCCAATGTTTATGTTTTGGGTACTAAATCATAGCAGAGACTGCACAGCACAGTGACATCCCTCGTCTTGTCCTGCAGCAGGTCAGGCTGTCCCGGTGCCAACGGCTGCAGCACTGTCAAACTCCGGGCAGTTTGTGGCCCAGCTGAGCTGGGCTCTGCACTCATCAGCATCAAACACTCTGCCAGGCTGTCCCCATCAGCTTTCAAAGCTCTTTTTAAACCTGATGGAACGAAACCAAACTACCCTATCCCTGGAAGTGTGCAAGGCCAGGCTGGATGGGACGCCGAGAAAGCTGGTCTAGTGGAAGATGCCCCTCCTGCAGGGGGTTAGAACCAGATGATCTTTTTGGTCCCTTCAAATCCAGCCAAATTTTTTTATGATCCTGTGAAGCTGCTGAGTATCTTGGAAGGAAGATAGAGAAGTAGTTTTATTTTATTGCTGTATTATTATTGTTTTCTGGTATGATACTCACTTGCCTCCGTTTAATAGCATCGACAGGATCCAAAGTAATGCCTTCCCGCTTTTTTGTTTTTAAGTTAACCTAGAGAGGCAAACAAGGGTGGTCCATGCCCTGAGCTGGTTAAGCATTAAATATGAGGAAGGCTTGATGGAAAGCAACTTATCTTTTGAATTAACATTTTTCAGCTTGATGTGTCACTGTTTGCCTTGATTTTGCTGGAGGTTTTTGGAAGGACTGATAACAGCCAGTAAGGGACTACTTACTTGAAAGTAAAGGATTATTGAGTTTAGGAGAAACATGTTATTGCTTTTCTTTCTTGAACATTTGAAACCTATTTTTGCTATTATATGTCTGAAAGGTGTCTGCAAACAGCCTGCAACAGCAGACAGGATTTTGAGGCTTCAAGTGAGTTTTCTTTTATATTTGCTGATGTGTTATGGACAATGCAAATGGAAGACAACATGTGTCCTTGGCAAGCTGCATGTGCCCACCGGGCCTTGCCCAGTGCAGAAAGTGACTGCATTGAGTTAGTACCTGTGTGCTTCATCTTATCAGAAATAATCACCAAAACTGACTAATATTAAAAAAAGTTAACTAACAAACTTTCTTTTGACAAAGACAGTGGCCAGTACAATTCTGGAGTGCTTGCAATCTGAGAGCTGTGACTCACGTTACACTCCAGAGAGGTTTCTCTTCCCCCTTCTATTGAAAATCAGGGAGTAAGAGGATACTCAGCCTCTGGAACAAGGAGCAAATTTCAGCCATGCCTAGTAGAATGTTTGCTGCCTTGCTCTCAGTGCTTGGAAGATGCCACCTTTGATGTTAAGTGGGAAGGTATTTTCTGAATGAAGCTGTGGCTCTGCTCATGGACCAGATGTCCCAAATATTCCCACCCAGCACAGCTGCCCCCATGAGAGGTCTGGCTCAGCCAGGACAAGCAGGAGATGAAACGACATGAGGGTCAAGCAAACTTGGTAAGCCAGCCAGCATGGAGAAGCTGAGAAGGTGAGAGGTGCAGGGTCACAAGCCAGGTGAAAAAGGCCTGGGGTCAGGTCAGCGTGCTGAGATTTTCCAGGGATAAAGGACAAATTAAGCCAAGCAATTAGGACAGCGCTTCTTTGGGCAAATCAGAAAACCTGTAAGTGTTGGCACAGGAAGGGGGATCTCTGCAGCAGGGAGAGAAAATCCATCCCTGTGTGTAGATGGGGAAGGAGAGAAAGGATGGCACAGGCCTACGTGATTTGTTCAGTCCATTTGCAAGTAATCCTGGGCAGGAAAATGTTGCAAACCCCACTGAGAACAGAGAAATATTACAAAGGGACCTACAGAGAAGCAGGAAATATGAGGAGGAAACAATAAAATGAGGTTCAGCTTGGAAAAATAGAAGGGAATACATGTGGGGAATAATATTTAGTAATAACTTCAGTGGGAGGAAAAGAACAGAAAAGCACAAAGTCTGGAGGGAGAAGAAGAGCTCCAGCAAGAACAAAAATGAGCAGCAAATGAGATTTTTGGCAAGGGAGGTGCTGAGGTTAATGTGCAGAGCTGAGACCCGCTGCCTGGCTCGCTCTCCCGTGGGCATCAGGGGTCAGCGACCCCAAATTGCAACAACCTCCACTATCCAATAATAACCACGGCACAGCTGGCAACAGCTGTACAGGGGCACACAAACCCCTGCCAAGGGGCTCTGTCCCCTGACTGTGCCCAGGTAAGAGGTGACATTTCCAAGTGTTTCTCCACGTGTGTGTTGGGAGAGGGTCCCGTCACCGGCAATGGCTCCCTGCTGTTCCCTGCACAGCTCAGTGGTTTGGGCATGGGATTGACTTCAGCCACCTCCGGGCAGTGCTGTGCCCACGGGTCCCCTTGTGAGGACACTGCCAGCCTGGTGGTGCGTGCTCAGGGCAAACCCAGCCTGTGTGGGATTTGCCAATTTCTCCCCACCCTCACCCCCCTCACCATCCCCGGCACGGAAACAAGTGTCATGGGCAAAGTAATTCCACACATCAAAATACAGGAAAAACCTTTAACACGAATCGTTTGCCTCTCCTCCTGCGCAGTACTCGTCACCTCAGCACATCTGCTCTGAGCCATGGCTGACCCCCTCCTTCCCTGCCAGCTTTCTGCTTCCAGTCACGCTATCTCGGCTCCCCCAAGCCCCAGGAAGCTGTGGCATTTTGGAATATGCTACATACAGCCCGACCAAGGCTGTGTTTTACTCAGACTGTTCTTTCCTACTCATTTGAGTCACAAACATGCAGATCCAGCCATCACCCAATTTCCTATCTGTGCCCTTTTGGCTCTCCCAGCCTCCTGCCTGCCCACACAGTGCAATGCCAGCATCAGCAGCAGCAGCAGGGAGCAAACACCAGGAAAGGCAAGTGGCCTTGTCCCAGACCCAGCTACACCCCCTGGCACAACAGGGTTTGGTTTTGGTCTCACTTACAAGGATGGAGTTTGCTCAAGCAAGAAGGGTTCTCATAGTGAGGGCAGTGGTAACTGCACTGCAACTTACTGAGTTATACACTTAAAAATGCACAGCTGGTAACGGTGAATCCAACAGAACCCAAAATGCTCGCAAAATGCTATGGGCTGCAGAGCATTTGGCATTCTTTGAGGAGAGCTTGAAGGTGGCTGTGGCCCATCCTGCTCCCAACACTGCCCCCCAGCCACCCCTGTGGCCACCAGGAGATGAGGGTTCCTCATCTCAGCTGATGTTCAGATACCATCTCCCTGCACCCCTTCTCTCCAAAAACACCCCCTCCAAACATGCTCTCCTGGAGCACAGTGTTCAGCTACATGAGTTGTTTATTGTTATTGTTCAAAAACGCAGCAGAAAGTCCAAACTTTTGGTTTTGCCAACCTGGAGAAGTGAGCCGATCAGATGTGCTTTTGTAGACACAAAGGAAAGCAAAGCATTAACTGAAGGAAAAAAAGCTCCTATGACAAAGCAAACAAAACCCAAGTCACACCATAAAGTATTTATTAAGAAACAAAGGGGGCTTTTTTCCTTCACTTGTAAGAAACACTTTAAAGCAAGTGCTCTTTCAGAGATTTAAAAGCTGTATCAAATGGTAACATTGGTTTTACATTATTGTACATTACATTAAAAAAACAACACATCTCACAAAAATCCTTTTATTACAACTTGGGTTTCTCTGCCTTCAGTTGTAAATTAATTTCTACAGACTTAAATTTAACTTATTCTTTTTTTTCTTTTTTTTTTTTTAACAAGTAAACAATATACAAAGATTCACCTGAATTTTGTAGATCGGAGGAGGTGTCTTTGCCAGGGCGTGTGCAAGGCAGGCAGTGCGTGCACAGGAAGAGCACACTTGGTTCACAGCTGGGCACGGTCACGACCACAGGAGGAGCTGCTGGTCTGGCCATGTAGCCAGGAACAACAGATCCAGGATAAGTTACCTATTCATTTCCCCGTGTCAGTGGCCAAACCACTTCTGCCCACTGCAGACTGCCTGTGTGTGGTGCGTTTATGAGTAAACCATTGGATTTGGCAATGTGTCTGCACCTTGTGAGTCATTTAAAAGCAGACACACAAAACACAGTGTCACAGTTATTGCTACATATTGATCAGACAATAAAAAACCTTTTGTCACCACTGGTCTGGTTACAGTAGTTGCTTGGAGTTTGTAGAGAAGTATCTGTTGCACTGTTTTGACTGAGGAACAAATGGACTGCATTTTTTTAAGAGATAAAACCAGCCTTAGTTTGCTACATTTTGGATGATATAATAAGAACAATCTGATTATCTGCTGCCTTTTCAACCTGGAGCAGTGTTTCTCCCAAATAAAGCAAAGCAGGACAAAGCCAACAGCTCCAATGTAAAGTGTCCCTCCTGACCGCATCTCACCACCTCCACATCTGCTGTGGCTCCACAAGCACCTCTGTCCTTTGGCTGGGCCTTTTTCCTTATTTTCAAATACAGCTGTGCCTTCCTAGTCCCCTGTCCCAAGAAAAGAGGGTGGATTTCAAACCTCCACCAACCCCATCACATCCCAGCTGGGATGTTCTGCATAACACTCTCCCACTCCCACCGAGCAGGGCAGGGGACTCGGAATGAGCTTCCACGGGACAGGATAAAGTCCACTTTCCCACAGGCAAACTCCAATGCAAGCAGTGTTTGGGGCTGACACCTTTGTGGCCATTCACACAGGTTTACTGTTTCATTAGTGAGGTTAAATCAGGCATATTTGGAATCACAGTCTGACCTTTCTCTGCTAAGGCAGTTTCAGCTCAGACACTGCCAGCAGTACCAAAAGCTTTGCTGAGCATCACGAAGAGCAAGCACCATTCACAAAGACAAAGTCTGTGCAAATCAGTTCTGGGTCCTGATCTTGAGACAAAACCAAATCAAGAAGGGTTTCAAGTGCACTGGAAAGAAGAGCAGAATAATTCACTCTTCTAATTCTTACATAATACAAGGAAAATTGGTCTTTGCAAGACCAAGCCTCTGGTGGCATTTCACCCCAAAGCAGGTGTGTGTAAGAAGCCACAGGGGCTGGTACCAGCACCGGGCACACAGGGATTGCACTGTTCAGCTCTCAGTTGTGATTGTCTGTAAAGGAATGGGAAATGTCACTACGGAGCTGAGAGCAGAGAGGTTTCTGAAGTACCGCAGTCTTGTACCGTGTAACAAAACTCTTTCTACGAATTAATTAGGCAAATACTTGTGACCATGTCATACCTGAAGGGCACTTAACAGCTCCAACGTTTATCTCATGAGTACAGCGATCTGAAATACATATGCATTTCCAGCATAATCCTTTGCCACTGTACATCGTGCACTGGAATGAGGGTGTATCTGGCAACATTAATTCCAAGATATCATCCTTACAGTTCCTGGCAACAGACCCCGATGAAAATAAATGGTTTATAAACACTGTCTGACATGCATGAGCCTTTCAAAATTATTTACAAGTGGTGTTCTGAGAGCTTTGTTCCAAGGAAGTCTTTCTCCTCCGTTCAGTTTAGATATCAAAATCAGCTGGGTGAGGATGGGGAGGGGAAGGCATCGGCACTACACAGTGACAGCGGGGTACATCTTCTGTTCGCTGTTGGTGTGCGGGTAGGGCGACTGCATCTGCCTGTAGCCGCTCTGCAGGCCGTCCAGGAACGGGGGCACCGGGCTCAGTGGCATCGCGTCGTGCTGCACAGCGTAGCCCACGTACTGCGGGTGCAGGTACTGCCCCTGGTGCGGCACGATCTGCGTGGCCTGCTGGCAGTTGAGCACCGAGAAGTTCGTGGGCATGTTGACGTAGACATTATTCATGGTCCCTTCTGGCAGGCAGCAGTTGGTCTGGGACCTCGTCGGCGGGGCTCTGGCTCCCGAGTTGGCACTGGAGCTGGAGCTGGCAGCCATGCTCGACTGGCGGGAGGAGGAGCCCCGGGAGGTGCTGGCACTTGGGATCATGGGGATGGTCTCCATCAGCCGGGTGCCCGCAGGGGCTCGACTCTGCTGGGGCTCCTGCTTGGGCCGCAGGCACCTGCAGCAACAAGCTGCCACCAGCGACCCCAGGATGATGAAGGCGACAAATACAGATCCAACGATAAGGAATGGCACGTAGATGGGCACTGCAACAGCAAGGAAAACATTGTCACTGGGGTACAAGGACAAACCCCGGCAACTCTGGCAGAAGTCCCCCCTCACCCAAGCAGAGCCCACCTCTTCCCAGCAGATGTCAATACAAGCAGAGCATTTTACACCAGAATGATGAAAAGGGCTGCTAAAACCAATGGCTTAAATTTCCCTCCTATTGATGGTGATCTAGTTCACATCAACCACTGCTTCACATTTCATCAAATCGTGTGCCCAAAATGCCCTACACGAAGAATCAGGCAAGGTACTGCTGGGTTTGAACAGTGCCTTAGGGAGATGTTTTGGGGCAGGATCCCTGCTGAGGGTTCAGGATCACAGGGCAGTCAAACCCTGGTGCCACATGACATTCCTGTCCATTACCAGCCCACTCTGGCTGTTCTCAGCCTGCTGGGGCAGGGAGACAGCCAGGCAATGAGCAGACAGTAGTCACAGGGGCTCTGACACCCCACAGCCCTGGCAATGAGTGTCCACCCATTCTGCACTTCAGCCCTCCACAGAGCAGGTGGAGCAGAGACAACACCGTGCTCCAAAGCCTTTCAGCAGAGGGGCAGCATCACTCCTTGTGAGGCTTAATGAAGGGACATCAGGACAGGAGGACTGAGGGTAGGAGCAGAAAGTATGGATGTTGCGTCATTGGTGGCATCAGGAGCCACCAAGGATGGTAAACACCATCCCTGGAAGAACCTGGGCTACAGGTACAGATTTCACAGGATACACTTGAGTTGGAAAGAAACCACAATAATTATTGAGTCCAGCTCTTAAGTGAATGGCCCATACAGGGATCAAACCCATAACCATGGTGTTACAAGCTCCATGCTCTATTCAACTGAGCTCATCCATTCTGCACTCCCAAGGAAAAAGCTTTTTTTCTCTGCCTCAGTAAGAAATCTGCACGGATATATCCAGGAATCACAAAGAGAAAGTGTCTCCCTTCAGTGCTTGTGAATGCTTCCAGCAGCATGCCTGGAGTTCATCATTTCCACCAAAACCTGGCAGCTCCAAGACTCAGGCAGGGCTACAGACCCTTGCTTGACCCTGCCTGACCCTTCTAAGGCAGCCACTGCTAATGACCTGCAAGTTAATCAGTGCCAGCGCAGGGCAATCGCTCCCAAACTTGCAAAGCAATAAATATTAATTAAAAAAATTGTTTTAAAAATGCATTGTTCTCAGAGCTGCGAAGTGGGGTTGTCTGTCTGCTCACGTCAGAACATTTCCTTGCACAGTTGATTACATGAAGCAAATTATAACCAAAAGACCACTTTTCTTCCATCATTTTAGCACTTTTAAACAAAAGGCTGTAAAACATCATCTCCACTTCTGCACTTGGTGCTACAGCAGCTCTTGAGCAGGTGCACACACTTCCTCCACACTGTAATGTGCAAGTTTTCCAAGAGTAAATCAGTCCTAATTATAACATCACTTCAGGCTACTTCTCCCGCACTCAGCATGTGTGGATGGCAGCAAGGGTACTGGGGAGCCACCGGGGCTTTTTTAAACAGCAGTAGAAAGACTTGAGCTTATCCTTGAAATTCAATCTTGTAAAACCAGTCCTAAGTGGGGATATCTGAGCTGAAAGAACATATACAATGACAGTGGGGACCAGCCAGTGTCCTTTTGAAATATCCTGTTACTTTTTCTGATCTGCCCGTACGGGCTGTCTCATTTTTCCTTCCCTTTTGAATGGGGAGCTCAACCGGGGCTGAGCCCGTTCAAAGCGGCGGCAGAGCTGTGCCAGGCCGAGACGGCTGGCCCGGGATTCAGAGCGGTGTCACCTGCTCTGACAGAGTCGCGGCTGGGATTTCCAACAGCAAGGCGGGAAAAGACAGCCCTTCAGCTGGGGCACTCCTCCCGGGATAAGAGCCGCGCCGGGCCGGGCCAGCGCCGACTGAATCCGTCCTGCCCCAGCACTCCACAGAGGGGGGAACCGGCGACAAGGCGGGAATAGGAGCGGGCAAGAAGTTCGCCGCAATCTGCGGCGGCTCCCGCGGAGCCGCCGAGCCGGAGACACCCCCGAGGCCATCCTCGCCGTGCCGGGCAGCCTCACCTGCCGCGCCGTCGGGGCCGTCCTTGCCGGGGCGGCCCGGCTCGCCGCCGCCCTGCCGCCGGTCGTTGTCGCAGGCGCCCTGGTCGAGGCGCGCCTCGGCGCTGGAACAGCAGTACCGGAGGGCGCAGCTGCCGCAGCAGATGGTGGCGTCGCCGCCGTCGAAGCGCTCGGGGCACTGGAAGCCGTCCCGCCAGCCGCCCTGCCCGTCCAGCCAGCCGTGGCAGTACTCGCCGCTGGCCGCGGCCCCCGCCGGCAGCAGCCAGCCCAGCGCCGCCAGCAGCAGCCAGC